AGAAGCAATACTTCAGTTAAGCTTTAATTTTATTCTCTGCAATGCCATTGTTTGAACAAGATGTAAATGGATTCATATTTGATTAGGGAGACAGATATTGCTCGCTGTTTGGCTCCAATAATCCTGCCAGCAGGGGGCGCAGTGTGCCGCTCTCTAATAAACAGCAATAGTGAGAGTCCTGTTGAGTTTGCGATCGGGACCACGGACAGCGACAGCAGCAGCTCCAGATGTTTCACAGTTTAATGAGAAATAAACAAACTCCAGAGACAAACAGGAGCCGAGGACTGGCACCACCTCTGCACAGATGGACCTCTCTCTGGTCTCTGTGGATTTCAAATCAAATCAACTATTCACTACAATACTTTTACTGGATACTTTTCCAACAGGTTGGGCTCATGGTATTTCACATTTCAGATGGTGGGGGCCATTTTGAAAATGCTATTTGTCAACTTATTAACATCTTTGATAAGTTTCACTTTCATGAGAGACTCTAAAACTGTGATGTCACCCACAGTGTTCGGCATTCGGCACATTTTAAGACCAAAGAGGCTCATAGCAGAAATTACAGAGAGAGGAGCCACAATATTCCACTCAAACAACACTCAAAAAAGTCAATGGGAGCCAGAGTCAGAAGGAGCCGGAAGAGCCACATGTGAACTTCGGCACGGTGGCTGAGTGGCTAGCACTCATGCCTCACAGCAAGAAGGGCCTTTCTGTGTGGAGTTTGCGTGTTTCTCCCCGTGTCTGGATGGGTTTCCTCCGGGTGCTCCGGTTTCCCCCATCAACCCAAAACATGCTACAGGTCTCCATGAACAGCTGATAGTCAAAGTCAGTTAAATACAATTGCCCACTATGAAAGTGGTGTGTGCGTGAGTGATGGTGGTGGTCGAAGGGACCGATGGCGCCGATTGGCATGGCAGTCACGCTTCTGTCAGTGTGCCCCAGGGCAGCTGTGGCTACAATAGTAGCTTACCATCACCAGGGTATAGAGTGAATGAATAATGGTGAATAATGCTCTGTAACGCATCTTTGGAGACAGAAAATGTCTGTGAAAAGCGCTATATAAATAAAGACTTACTTACTTATTTGGAACACGGCAGTTAGCGTGTTAGCTATTTCCATTTATATAAACAGTCTATGGAGTCTCCCCTCCCCCTTTACACACATACAGACTCACACACACACACACACACACGTTGTTGTGTCCAGTTTTGTATCATGTTGTTGTATATTTATGGAGAAGTGTCGTGTGGGTGATGATGGCTTGTGGGTGGAGCCTTGTACAGGTTCATACTGCAAACCATGAGGAGGGTTCCAATAGGCCACGGGAGACATCACTAGATTACCCAAACATGCATGGTTGGGGTCTGGTCTGGGATTGGGGTCTGGTCTGGGGTTGGGATCTGGTCTGGGGTCTGGGGTTGGGGTCAGGTCTGGGGTCGGGGTCAGGTCTGGGGTCGGGGTTGTATGTGAGGGACTGGTGGCCTGGTGCAGTAAACAGAGAAGCACTGAATCATAAAACCACTTCTATAGATCATCACCCACTCACTTTTTATGCGCAACATTTGGTTGAAGTGTCTTTCCCACCAACACAACAATAGTATATAGAATAACCAAAAGTCAGAACTGAACCATCAACTGTCAGTCTTAGTAAGTGAATGTCTCTATCCACTAGACCACTGGGGCCTCAAATACACCCGAGCAAAACTCTCGTGACTTTGTGAACTGTGTTTAGTTTTTGTGTAAGTTCCACTGAAAATGATCTGGCTTCGAAATGTTGATTTTCTGCCATTTGGTCCATTTGGTCAAATACACTTTGGCACCATTCAGTGTTAGAGGGGAGATTACAACAATGTCAAAATACTAATGAGAAATGTCAAACTCAAATTCATAGCTGAAGAAAAATGAAAGTATTACATCTAACTAACACATCTTTTTGCTCACTGACACTCGGGAGTCTAACCCACAACCTCCTTACTGACAGGGCCAGGAGATAGGATTAAATGGATCAACCTTTCCAGATCGACGGCGGACATGTTTTATTTAACAGTGCATAACTGTCCAACCATAGAAGACAGAAACTGAGATTTTTTTTATTTATTTTTTTCCCTTGAAAATGAAGGAGCGGCTTTCCGAGCATATTTTCCGTATTGTCCTACGTCACACAGTTGCTGTGTGATGTCGTAGGAAAAACGAGTGTCCAATAGGAACTTTGTTTTCCGCCAAACTTTGCCAGTGAGTCAAAATGGTCAATGTTCTGAGCGTCTGTGTTTGTAACAATTGAAAAAGTCGCTCTAAGTGCAGATATTTCTCAAATAAATGGAACATTACAAATCTTGGTCTGCGTAGTTGTGCATCCCTCATTATTTTTATTTGAAAGGTTTATTTCACTTAAATGTCCAAATCCAAATGTAATAAACCCCATGGAAATGCAGGAAGTGATGTGGCTCTGTGTCCTGGACCTGACACCAGCTGTTTCCATGACTGACACCAGGAAAGTCATGGGGTCATTGCACTTACTTTTTTTGTTTTGTTTTGAGGCAATAAGGATATTTTTTAGTTTACTTTACAGACTTGATATTTGCACTTTTGTAGCTAAGGCTCTAAATTAAGATGTGTGTTTTGTATGAAAAAGTGTGAATTTTATTGTCCTTTTTTTCTCTCTCTCTAATGTGTATTTCTGGTCCAGTATCTTTTATTACATCCATATGGCACAACTACAGCAGCAGATTGTGAAATAACAGGTTGTAGTGGGAAAAAAAGGATGTATAACACTTCATTTGGGGGTAAAAGGGGGGTTTTTAATAGAAATATTAAGAAAAAAAATCCGAGCAAGGAAAAATGTTCTAAAATTGCCCTCCGGTCTGGAAGGTTAAACTTGTGAATACTTGGACTCAGCAGTTTCATCTTGTGAGAATCACTAAACTCTGTGCATTAATGCCCGCTCCTCGCTGCCCCCTGGAGGAACACATTATGCAAACACATTCTGCTGCGCTGTACTGAACCTCGGGCCAGGATCACACTCTAGAAGAAAGAGGCTAAAGATGCTCCGTGTCTATTTGACAAGGCTAACGCAAAGGCCATGACCTGAAAACATGCAGAGAATTCAACAAGAACACACTTAAACACTGTGTTATATACGCAGTCATCTGCATTCTGTTTGTAAATGTAAAACTGATATCTTATATAATACATCAGATATACTGAATCAAAACCTGTTTAAGATTTAGTTTAGATCTGGTTTAGTCCTGAAGCAAAGTCCTGGTTTAGAACTAATCCAGACCTAGTCTAGTTGGGGAATATGGGGAAAAACAACTCCTGATTTAGTCCAGATTTAGTCTAAAGTTGAGTCCAGGTTGAGTCCAGGTTGAGTCCAGGTTGTGTCCAGGCTTAGTCCAAGATTAGTCCAAGATTAGTCCAAGATTAGTCCAAGATTAATCAAATACTAGTCAAATACTAGTCAAATACTAGTCTAATATTAGTCCAATATTAGTCCAATATTAGTCCAAGATTAGTCCAAGATTAGTCTAAGATTAGTCTAAGATTAGTCTAAGATTAGTCCAGGCTTAGTCCAGGCTTAGTCCAGGCTTAGTCCAGGCTTAGTCCAGGTGTAGTTTGTTTAGTCCTTGATATAACTGTGCTTCAGTCCTGTCCTCCAGTGCCAACTGAGTCTCAGGGTGAGTCCTGGTTGAGATCTAGTTTAGACTTGGTTTAGTACTTGGTTTAATACTTGATTTAGTACTTGATTTAGTCCATAGTATAGCTGTGCTTCCGTCCTGCCTTGGTCCTAGTTCAGTCTCAGGTTGAGTCCCGGTTGAGTCCTTGTTTAGTCCTAGTTTAGTTCTGATTTAGACCTTGCTTGGTCCTGGTGAGGGTGAAGGGACTTTGAGCATGATGAGTATTTCAAAACTCAAAATTTTCTGGGAATTTCACAGTACTTCCAGCCCCCTCTGTGTTTGACAGAGTGTCCAGTGAGCAGCGGTTCTGTTCTGACGTGTACCTACTGTAATAAAATGGCCACATCCTGGTTTTGTATGAATCTTTCAGACCTGGATGTAGGCTTTGTAGGCTAAGAGTTCAGTGCAGTTTAGCTTGTATTTAAATATAGATGTAAATGAGCAGGTTACATCGCCCACACACTTCATTAATATGTGCATAATTAACATACAGCTGTGCACACGGCACGAGGGACAGGACAGAGTTAACCTCAACACTTTACAGAGAAATGTAATGAGACGAGCCTGTGAGTGATGCTTCTGCTGAGGTTCACACGTAATTAGATGAGCTCAAATAACCCAAATCACATTCATTTCCAACTGTGGGCTTCAGAAAGATGAAAAATTAGGACCAATGCTGAAGCAATTAACTATGTATAACAAAACGTCTTCAGAAAGTCACCTATAAACAGGAAGCTCAAACCCACTGATACAAAAAGTCCAGGACTAAACCGGGACTAAACCAGGACTAAACCAAGACTAAACCAAGACTAAACCAAGATTAAACCAAGATTAAACCAGGACTAAACCAAGACTAAACCAGGACCAAACCAAGACTAAACCAAGATTAAACTAAGATTAAACTAAGATTAAACCAGGACTAAACCAAGACTAAACCAAGATTAAACTAAGATTAAACCAGGACTAAACCAAGACTAAACCAGGACCAAACCAAGACTAAACTATGATTAGACCAGGACTAAACCAGGACTAAACCAAGACTAAACCAGGACCAAGCCAGGATTAAACCAAGACTAAACCAGGACCAAACCAAGACCAAACAAGGACCAAACCAGGACCAAACCAGGACCTAAACCAGGACTAAACCAAGATCAAACCAGGACCAAACCAGGACTAAAACCAGGACCAAAACCAGGAAAACCAGGAACAAACCAGGAATAAAACAACACTAAACTTATGACTAAACCAGGACCAAACCAGGACCAATGTACATCTAAAGGAGGACTAAACAGAAATTAAAGCCAGATCTAAACCTGGTCTTACCTGGGTTAGTTCTTGCTGATCCAGGTCCCACTTCTTGATGCCATTGTCCCTGGAGCCGCTGAAGAGCACGTCTCCCTGCACGGACAGGCACTCGATCCCGTCGTAGTGAGGAGGCTCAAAGTTATGAGCCGGGCCTACATTTCCCAGAGTTCCTTCTGCTACGTCAAACACCTGCACGAGGAACAGGAAGGATGTCAGTGCGTGGAGTATGAATGATCATACAGACATCATAAAACAGGGTGGGTGATATTACTCAAAGTTATTCACAATTTCTGTTATATATTTTATTATTTATTGTATTTATTTAAATTTATAATTTTTTTGTTTGCATCATTAACAACAAATAAAAGTCACTCATATCTTAAGTAATGCAGACTTCTAATCAGCGTCATGTAACAACAAACAGTCAAACAGAGGACTGCACTGTGTAACTTTTCTGGTGGGTGATACGCTATCTGCTTGTTTCTATAGAGATGTGGTTACTTTGCTGGGAATGTTCCACAGTATGGCATTAAACATATCTCCATGGAGAAGAGGTTTAGTCCAGGCTTAGTCCAGAGTTTAGCCCAGGCTTAGTCCAGATTTAATCCAGTCTTAGTCCAGGATTAATCCATCTTTAGTCCAGGTTTAGTCCATCTTTCATCCAGGTTTAGTCCAGGTTTAGTCCAGGTTTAGTCCAGGTTTAGTCCAGGTTTGTTTAGCCCTTGGTATATCTGTGCTTCGGTCCAGTTTCAGCTCTACTTAAGTCTGGGCTTGAGTCCTGGTTTAGATGCACAGTAGATCAGTCTGTGCAGTTAAACGAGTTTTGAGCACGATTGTGATTTGTGTGTCAAACAACGTCACGTTGTGCACATGTGAGTGACAGATTTGTAGCCTATATTTATTTTCAATTTGAAAGTTTTGCGTAAATTATCAGTACCAAATAATAAAGTGTTTTTGTGTGTGTGTGTGTTTTGTTTTGGTTTTTTTTGAGAGAAAAATGCTGAATAAATGCATGTGTAACTAAAAATTAATCGTTTGACATTGACCAAAATAGTTGTGACAATGTTTGTTTGTTTGTTTTTTCCCCATAATCGAAATAGTAATAGTAGATGTATAGTAAATGAACGACAGATGGATATGAATATTAGGTGTGTATTATGCCACTGCCTACATCCCAATCAAATCAATAACATCTCCATGGAGACGAGCAGACACAGACCCTACACAGGAAAGTTGCATACTGCATCTTTAAAGCCTGAATCTTAACATGGATGAATAGAAATGACTGAACCTCCTTTAAATGTAGCAGAACTGTGCAGATTTTCATAGTTCCAGTTTCTCAAGATTAACAATGTTACTCAACGTTTAGCCAAAAGGACACTGTATTGATCAAAGCAGAAAAACAGCCAATAAAGACACAAAAGAGGTAAAGAAGCGGGGAAATATGGGCCCAAGGAGCTAAAGAACACAGTGAAGTGAGCCCAGCGGGGAGGCAGCTCACACCAAGGACCAGGTGATAGACAACAGAAATGACAGAACCCAGAAAAACAACAAAAATGAGAGAAATGAGAAAAAAACGACAGGAGTGAAGGTAGGTTCAATTTTACATTTTGTTTCTTCAAATTAATGCATTTTCAAAAAATGAAAATGTGCCAAGATTATTTCTAAGTTTGTGTTTCTAAATCACATCTTGTTTTGTTTTTCCAACCAAATTTGTGCATTATTTCATGTTTTGTTCATTTAACTAAATTGGCTTCTGTAGTGGAAATGTTTTATGGACTATGCAGCTATAGTTCATATATAATATACTATAATCACTGTTGAGAAGGTTACTTCAAAACTGTAATGTGTTATTTATGACTTGTTACTGTCATTTCAAAGTAATTTATTACATTACAATATTATTGCATTTAAAATGTAATTACATGACTATTACAGCACTTTAAGTTACTCTCATCAAAATAACCGTCACTGAACCAGGACTAAACCAGGTCTAAATCAGGTCTAAACCAAGACTGAACCAGAACTGAACCAGGGCTAACCCAGGACTAACCCAGGACTAAACCAGGACTAAAACAGGTCTAAAACAGGTCTAAAACAGGTCTAATCTTGGACTAGGACTTGGGATCTAGGACTGCCCCTGAGAGAACCCTGAGCCCGTGGAGCAGGGTGTCTGCAAAGCGTGATCGGGTGTCAGCTGCGATTAGCTCCATGGAGTTCTGCGCCGGTCCTTTTGCCCGTGGTTACCCGACGGTCTACATGGGCGCACCTCCGGGCCCGTCCTGACATTCAGAACTGTGATGACAGCGTTTCACCGCTCCTGATATCGCAGTGATTTTAGCAAATTTGTATGAAGAAAATCAAAAAACCCACCACTTCAATCCAGGTTAAAAATGCATCGTAACGTGCATTACTCACATTTGTACCAAGTAAAATTCAATTTTTTTTTCCCCTGTAATGCCACATTACTGTGTTACAGCAAAAAGCAATGCATTACAGTAATCCATTACTTTTATAATGTGTTACTCCCAACACTATATTGACTATATTTACTATAATTATGATATACCCTGGTGTATTTATTATAAAATGTTCCTGTGAAAGCAACAGTAACAGTATATACCTTGACAGAGTGACTCTTATAAACCCTTAAATAAAAACACTTTGTAATTTTCTTTACCTTCACATAGTGATCTTTGGATCCGGTGATGACCTGGTCTCTCCCGAGCACAGACTGTCCCACAGTGAGACACATGACGGAGCCGATGTGTCCTGTGAGCTTCCCCATCGCACACATCCTACAACACAACACAACACAACAGAATATTATATACTAATAATACTACAACAATAAAGTACATCATTCATACATGATCTATTTACACCATATACACAGAGACTCAAGACTGAGCCAATGTGTCCAGTGAGCGTCCCCATCCTACACAAAGTAGCAGAGTATAAAATTACAATACTACTTCATCTGGTCGACATTCTTACTTGTCCTGGTAAAATACTATAGTACCTGCTGTAATAACAAAACGCATTTAACTCGGTTACCCTTTTCTTGGGCTTATTAGCAGTTAAAGTGTTGGTTAAATGTTGTGTTTACATAAATGTTGGGCTCGTATTAACCAATATTAAACATATTTACAAAAAAAATCTAATTGATAGCACATTGTGTAGTTGGTCCCTGTATGTGCTGCTGTAGTAAATAACAAGGGTGCGCATTTGACACAAATTTGGTTCTGACTCAAATTGGAGAATCACAGTCTTGCACAAACACCTCCAAATCCTGAGTGGATCTTTGCCTGACAGCAGCCGCAGCGACAGAGCGAGTACCTGTTCAGGTCCCATATGCGCACAGAGTTGCCTGCGGCCGCGTACAACACAGATCCAGACGGGTTCAGGGAGATCTGGTTAATCTGACACTCGCCCTGAGCGAATGTGATGGTGCGTGTGGTGGTACCGGCACAAGCGTCACCCATGACGACCTGACCTGAAGATCTGCGGAGGGGCGAGGAGAGAAGAAGGTGTTTAATATTTGTGTGGTAATAGTTTAAAGCAGGGATAAAATTCTATCAATGTGCTTAAGACAGGTTTAAATGTTTTTATCATTCTGACTTGGTTTGGTGGGATCGGTGGGACCTGTGCTCAAGATTGATTTATATATATATATATATATATATATATATATATATATATATATATATACACATATATACACACACACACAAACGGTTTTCCATCTGTTAAGTTACAGGTTTGTGGGAAACAATGCAGCTTGTCAAAGCCTGATCTCATCAGATGTCAGAATCAGATGTCAGAAGAGCAGCAGGTCTGGGTCGCATTAGTACTTCGATGGCGACACTGGGAAAATCAGGAGCCACAGAAGGCACCTTTCACAAAAACATTGTGTCCTTAGGCAAGACACTTCACCCACATTGCCTAGTATGAAAGTAGTGTGTGTGTGAGTGATGGTGGTGGTCCTAGGGGCCAATGGCACAGACTGGCAGCCTCGCTTCTGTGGTGACACCACAGGCAGAGTTCTGGATCAGATCTGTGATCAGGTGAGCCTGCTCTCAGTAAGACTGCAGGGAAAAACTGAATAGTGCACCTTAAAATCTTTTACATAATTATGCTGAGTAGATTTGAGTGAAATGAGCACTTTAACCTGTCTCTTTGCACCGTGAATGTGACTGAAGTCTTTAGTGTGAAACTCACGTGAGCGTCCGCACACACTTGTTGGCGTCCCTGATGTCCCAGACCTTGATGTAAGACGAGGACACAGAGAAGAGCAGGCCAGAGGAGGAGCAGTATTTCACAGACACCACGTTGTTGGGATGTCCCTTGAGAGTGACCACCTCCTGCCCCGTGCCCAGGTCCCACAGCTTACACGTGCGGTCTGGACAAAGACACATGACAGAGCATTAAACACGTGTGCGGGGTATTCATCAGACCAAGTCATTGCTTTACAAGTTTCAAGTAAGTCTCAAGTCTTTGACCTCAAGTCTGAGTCAAGTTCTAAGTCAAATACAGACAAGTCCAAGTCGAGTCTTGAGTCACTGGCCCATAAGTCCAAGTCAAGTCCAAGTCATCTGCATTAAGCTTCAAGTCATTTCAAGTCTTTAAACCAAAGAACCAAATATAGCTTAGATTTGAGAAATTTATATGAATTTTTAAATAAATTGTACTTTAAAAAGTCATGGTATATTTGTATATGAGTATTTAGAAATGCTATTTTTTCCTTTTTAAATGTCTTGACAAGATCTTAGTGTGAATCATGATGGTCAGAACAGGGACATGTTCTAGTTTGTTCCTGTAAAATTCAGCACTGCATGCATCAACTGTAAAGAGAAAAGTATTTTCTAAAAACATATTTTTTAGGGGAAGCATCAAGTCTTCTCAAGTCATAGGCCTCAAGTATTAACTGGTAAAACATAACATATTTAGATCACCATGTTACCTTGGACTGTTTATTTACAGAAAACAACACATGCACATGAGTAAAATTTGTTTTAGTTTTGTATTTGATGCTCTGAGTCTACCCTTCCTTTGCTCTCTGCACTAAGTCACTCCCCCTTCAAAGCACAGCACGACACAATCAGTGTGCATTCTGCTAAAACTACTGCACATTGCATCAGGTTTGTGAAGTTGTAAAGTATTGTTTTATAACATGCGTTTGTATATTTCTAGAGAAATGTCGTGTGGGAGCATGGGCGATGTAGGTTTGTGGGCAGAGCCTTGTACAGAATCTTACAGCTAACCATAAGGAGGATTTGAATCGGGTCCAGGAGAGATCACTTGATGACTCAAACATGAATGAATGACATCTAAAATCTCTTCAGGCATGTTTCTGATGAGGGAACAATGAAGGAGAGAAGCTCCAGAAAGTTGATTTTGAACTGAGTGACTCAGTTTTATAATTTTACAGTCTATTCCAAATTATAAAAAGTGTTTTGAAAGTAAGTAACTCTGTCTTGATTATTGAGCATTCAAAACACGGCGGTTTCCACTTCAGACGAGTGAAGTCATTAGAACGAAAATGAATCAAACTTTAGCCGCGAGCTTCAAGGTTAACACTGGACTATTTAAGAGCTGAAATTATTCAAACAACACAAGTGAAAGTGTATGGACCTGTTTAGAACAAAGGCATTATTCAATCAAAATGTCAAAAAAATGATTTCCAATTTAATGGTAAACATTTTCTAATTAGACGCCCATCTAAACCTTTATTTGGTTGATTATACACGACAAATCTGCCAGTTTTGATTTTCCAATGGACCTTAAATTCGACAACACCCAGAGTTAACCCAACACTGAATTCAGAATTGACACTAGCCGAGTAAATGCTGCTGTCAGTGCTAAACGTGACCCACATGTTTTTGATGGTCATGAGAAACACTGAGTACTTGATTGTAAGAAACTCTTCATGTGATGTTTTCTGTTTGATGTATTCTATTATTCAAGAGCCGTGAGCCTTCGTGCTGGGTTTAGTTTCTTGTCCTTCTCGTGTCCAGTACCTTTGGAGCCGGTGAAGAGCAGCTGGTCGGTGGCGTCCACACAGAGCACGGGTTTGGAGTGTCCCTCAGCCACAGACACGCACTGCAGAGGGGCCGTCCTGGTGCCCTTCACACCCCCTAGAGGACTGATCACACCCCTACAGAACATACGGAATATTAGATCACAAGGCCAGGCACAAGAAACACGCTTTGACACAACTTTACAAAGATGTTTGGGTCAAGAACTGTATCCTGTCATCCCAATTTCAGAAATGACTGGATTTTCTCAGAATTAAACAATCGAAGCCCCACATTGTTACTTATTTCAGGTACAAGAAGTGTTATATTTTGTTCTGAAAGTCATGAGAATTGGTGAGGAGATGTCTTCTGCATTTGAGAGACATGGGCGTGGTTGTTTGAATGGATGTTTCCTTCCAAGATCTGAACAGACTGTAGATGGGACTGGCTGCTCAGGCAACAACAGGATAATTTACGCCCCCTACAGGACAGATCGTGCCCCTACAGAACATGACAGCACATTAGAGACAGTAAAACAGGACCATTCACACTCCTATTAGAAGATGTTATTGCATTACCTGCAATGTTCCACTGCACAGCATCAAACCAAGCACGCAGGAGGTGCAACCATGTTAGGCATTTGCAATAAAAACATTTATAATTGCTAAATACAGGCAAAGCAATAGCATCTCCATAGGGAAGAAACATACATAGTGTACCTTCAATAGGATAAATACAACAAAACAGAAGAGTACGACTCTATAAAAGCAATACAAGAGAAGATGAGTGAGTATTTTTACATATTGCCCACGCCTCATTTCCACTTGCACAGGCGGGTTTAGTGTTTCACAAAGTACTGCAGAATTATTATGAAAAACCCATTCTGTCAACATCTGAGAGAAGACAGAAATCTGAAACTAATACTACAAGCCCATGCATTTCAGAACATGTTTGTAAAGGTCTAAACTAGGGGTAGGCGATATCTCGATATTTTAAATATATTGAGATATTTTTTAAACTCGATATGGATTCTGACATATCGTATATATCGATATAATGCTTATATTCTATTCTGATTTCGCCGCTTCACTTGTTTGTCTTCTCTGTGCACACCCCCGCCTCCCTGATTTTGCTGCTTGTGTCTCATTCACTTCTCACTATCACCGTGAATGCCCAAAGTTGGTGCCAGTGAAAAACTTCAAGCACCACAAACCTTTTCCACCATTTACAGACAAGACCATCAACAGCACATCCTCTGTCACAGAGAGAACACTCATATGAACACTGAGTCATGTCCTTTAGTCCGACAGAAGCTGAACCACATCAGCGCACAAGGATTGAGCCGTTTATGCAAATGAGCCATGCAGTTTTAAGTTTTGTTTCTGTTAAACATAAACACGTGGCAAAACTGTATTAACCACATGATAATGTCAAACAGGCTGATGTGGCTCTAGAGTCGTTATGGTTTATATATTGTAAAGTTTAGTCAATGTAAAGTTTATTTATGTAGAAAATTTTTATCAATAATCTGCTGCAGTGTCACTTGTACAATAGTGTTTGGAAACGTTCAGTTTGATCTGCAGTGGATTGTGGGAAAATTCACAGCTCCTTCTGCTGGTGAGGAACATGGATCTGTTAAAATAAGGAACCTCCCGAGCTTCTTCTGCTAAAGGAGCTCATGGTTCTGGTTCTGGTTATGGATAACAGAGTTTATGCAAAGATTAACTTGAATTGAGTTGTTTTATTTATAAATGAAAAGAAGGAAATATGTATTTTTTTCTTTTAGTTTACAGTTGAAATTATTATTTATGTAATATGGGATTGTTTGTAATCTTAAATGTGGCAGAAGCACTTTGTTCCTACATGAACTCCCGACCTCTTGCACTTTAATTAAAAAAAAAAAAAAAAAAAAAAAAAAAAGACCTTGTGGAATCAGTTTTAGGGCATTATTTTTCCTGTACACATATGGAGATATATATCGTATATCAAGATATAGCAAAATATACCGAGATATATTTTTTGATCCATATCGCCCAGCCCTAGTCTAAACTACAGGGTGAGCAGCTTTTACACAGAATAAGACCCCATGGAGACACAGGGAGGGCATCTGGCATAATCTGATTCACCGGGACTGAATTTTCCATCGGCAAATTGCAACCACTAAAACAGCCATTCCATTTCAATTAAGTGTCTTGCCCTCGATGACCACTCCACTGGGATTTTCACCCACAACCTCCAATCGCTGGGTTTTACAGAGATTGTTTACTCTGTGAGACTGAAATAGCTTTTACAGTCTCTATCGTGAATTTTAACTAAGACGTGGGGGGTTGGGTTGTGCAGTAATTGGATGATTTGACAACAAAACAAGGTGAGAATCCTCAGGGAGATTCTGTGGGTTTAATATGAGCCTGCGTTCAGCTTCACTGCTTCGTATACTACAAATACTACAGCAAATACTCGCCAGCATTACAGTATTGAAGTACAACATTTGAACAACTTTAATACAAGATATGAATTTGGATTTTAATATTTGTATGCATTTTAGTAATTTAGTTTTTATTTAGTCTAGACTGTAGACTAGACAGACTTTTGTTGAGACAAACAAACAAGAATCAGATTTCAGAACATGTTTGAATCAGAATAAGATGGGAGTTTTTGTGAAGGAAATGATGGCCTTTGTAATTTGCTGATTACGTCCATTTAAACTATGATTTTGATTTCATTCCCAGTTAATATTTGGCAGTGAAGAAGAGCTCATTGTAAATTTTCACTTTATGCTGATCTAAATTATGTCCAAAATGTCCTTTTTACGCTCCTTCTTCATTCTCAGCCCTCCAGGAGTAATAAATAATAAATTGTACGGCCCATTTCCCACACTGCATCTGACCATGGGCTTCTATTAAATCAGACTGGCCCTCCCGGTCGATCTGTGCCTTATTTAGTACTTCAAAATAAGTCACTTTAACTTCTTTTTTGAGTTTAAAGTCGACCTATTGTGATTGTGTCTGCTGTACAGTTCAAATCTATGACACCTGTGGATCATAATGCTTTCATTTGCACGTTTTAAATCACAATATTCATCAAAAAAGACTTAGTAAAACAAACTGTGGTGTCCGATGGGAGATGACATCACTGTAAACGTCATTTGTGGGCTCCTCCTATGGAGAGCTGTACATCACACTTGGGAGTAGATATATATTTTTTTAAATGCACCAAATATGACCAAAATGATTAAGCGACGCTCCGACATCCTACGCGCATCACTGGTTAAGAAAATCAGGGTTGATCGCAATATGGCATCTTAAAAATAAGTGAAGATTGCTCAAACATGCACAAATCACTCCAAATACAAACTTCTGTGTAAATGAAAAGGAAAGCAACTAAAACAGGTTTAAAAGTTGTGCAGAATCAGTCTGCTTTAATACGCTCTAGTCACGTTTACGTCACAAACCAATGCCTTCTTCTGGTGTAGTTCCCGACACTGGACTCACCGACCGACTGTGATCAAACCCACTGAAGTAAATGTGATCAGTGGTAAAATGAAGACTGCAGACATATGTGCTGTTTGGAATCATCTGGAATTTGGCGCCTCATCTCTTCTAATCACATGTTCCCAGTGCACTCAGAGTTGTGTGTCAGTGGAGAAATGATGAAAACTGACATATGGCTGTAATTAAGGCCTGGCCAATATATCGGTTGGCCAATATCATTGGCTATTATAGGTACTTGGAGACATATTGTCCTAAATCGTGCTGATGGGCTGGTTGTCCACGTGTGCGTGTTATACTTTGTTATAAATCTTAGACACTCTATATTATGTCCATTTAATCCAATTTACAGACAGATTAATGTCCTCATATGTAACACCACATCAATATTTATCTACGGAGTCATTTGTGGGTAACACCGTACCACCTCTGACTGCATCACCAGAGTCATGTGAATCATGTGCGCTTGTTTACACCCATGCATAGCTGCTGTCAACATGCTGGATTATATAATATTTTATATTTTGATTATATTTTGTTTTGAGTCAGAATTAAAAGGACACTTATTAGTGCAGACCTGTGATCTGAGAGGAGCCTGTGTAAGCGATGAGTGTTGCAAATGTGTCAGATTTGAAACAAATTTCCGTTCTTTCTCATTGTTTAGCTGCTGTAGCTCCCTGGAACCGCATCAATATGTAAATGAGCTGTGAATAGAGATGTGAATGATCCACATTTGTACACATAACTGAAGACTGATAGTGGTAGTTTACTTTCTTTACAGGCTAGAATGTGATGCAAAAATGCCATTAGGCCAACCTACTGTCTTTAAATATGACGTAAAGAGGCAGAAGAACAGTAAATTTCACCTAAATAATCCCAATTTAAAATCCAGTAGAGACTAAGTTTTATAATCAATTGAAGATTTACAGTGAATTTTTAAATCACTAAATACAAAAAAATACACCCCCCCCCAAAAAAAAAAAAAAAAATATCGGTCAGGCTCTAGTTGTAATTGCTGATTAGCCAAATGTAACCAAATGCTACAATAACAATAATTATACAATGAATGTTCTTTCCCTTTTCTCATGTTTCCGAGATTTTGTCAGACTTGCTACTGCAAACAGAGCCCGCTGGAAGTTGTCATCGCATGTTTCCAAACGTCTTCCTGGTTTGTGATGTAAGCGCGAATAAAACCTGTATTACAGTTAGAAGCACTTTGATCATTTTGGTTTTAAACACATTAGCTCTGAATTCTCAGTCCTCGCGGTGAACCTAATAAATTGTCCAGCCCATTTCTCCCGCCTCGCACTAACTGACCACAGGCTCGGATTTAATCAGACCTGCTCTCCCTGTGGATCTGCACCTTGTTTAGTGTTTGTTTTCACAATATCCAATTATACCACAGCACCCGAACACACCGTCTCCACTCCACCTGGTTTAAACTGACGAAACAAGCGGCTTTCTAAGGGTTTCCTGTGAAGTCTGTCCTGCTGCTGTGCTCCAATCTGTGAAGAACTGACAGAGAGGAGAGAGGGAAGCAGAGTGACAGTGTAGAGAGGGAAGGAAAGAGAGAAGAGAGATGGAGAGACAGAAGGAGAGAGAGAAGAGGCGGAGAAGGGTGTGGAGAGGAGCTGAGAGACAGAAGTGGAGAG